ATTATAACTCTAAGATGCGAAGAGTAGAAAGAAGTCCTAAAACTAACACTAAGCGGATCCCAAGAGCAAGACGTCCACGCCTAACAATGACAAAGGAAGACGAACTCGACGATTTCGAAAAATTCATGGCTGATTTGCATAGCGAGCCTAAATATATATTATCTCAAAAAGAAAAATCCGACTTTCTTTCGCTACCAGGAATGCCTGATTTTGACTTTGCATCATTCTCATTGCCACTAGAGACCCCAAGAACAAATTCCAAAAAAGAAGTACCCAGGAGACGGGCTAAATCTGCAGACGTGACCAAAGCTCGAACTGCCCAACGAGAGAGTCAACTGAGGAACAGATTAAGAAGGGAATCATTCTCAAGTGAATGCAATCCTAATGATGTGGAATGCCATTTTCACTTGTTGTGCTTAGATGAGACAGCGTTCGTTCCAACCGCACAATACGAATTACTTAATGAAACTCAACGAATGCTTTTGCGGTGTCTACCTCGAGGAACTGACATTAGTCCACGCGGTGGTAAATTCTATCCAGGAGACAACACCAGGCGCACCAACGACACTTACATAATAGAAGATGATGATGATAAGCCAATCGATTGGGAATTTGAAAAAAATCGCGGGTCGCATATGAGTCTGGACGATACAAATTCATTAGAATTCTACCTTAACGAATATCAACAGCAAATTCGCATGAGGGAGGAAAAAGAGAACCGAGAAATCTCGAGAACCGAAACCCTTCTCGAGTTTAAAGACGTTGAAGAAGATTGATATTCGACAAATTAACTGTTCAGTCATCAACCATTTTGTTTTCGACAACATGAAATATAAATTTAATTTTGATTCTTATGATCTCTTTGAAACAGCATATCCCATAAATATTCTAAACCATCACCCGGAGACATGATTGTGAGTAGATTGCTATAAGAGGCCTACTTATTATAACAAATCTAAATTTTAAAATTCCATTTTAATATGTAAAAGAAATGTATTACGACAGTGACAAATAAATACGTCTGTGAAGTTATTCTACCGCATAATCATTTATGAAAATTTCTGAGATATAAATTGAAACTCGTTTTATTATCAACATAAGTAGATAAATAATGTGAATAAGTTTACATTGTTTTGCAATTACAGCAGCATTAGCATCTTAAAAAGCTGCTAATATAAAAAAACATTTAAAATACCGTGAAGTAATTTATCGAAACCACATAAAAATCGAACTTTAAATATTTTAACGTCTCGAGACTTTCTGATATAAAAATAATTATTTGATATATGCATGTTAAATCTTCAAGTTTTTGATGGATCTAATATATATTACACTCTAAATTTTGGCTTCTGCACCAATAAATGAGCATTTTCAAAATTCTTAAAAGATTTTTAAAACAATACATGAGACTCATGTAAAGCAAGCATTTCGAGTAAAAACATCCAAGATTTTGTTACAATTTAAAAAATTATGTCTTTTTCCTTATTTGGGTTTCCTACTAAAAATTATGTAAAGAACTATTTTGCATTCTAGTAATTTTAATCTTTATCAATGATGGTATTAATTATAAATAATATAGAGATCCTACACAAATATCACGTCTCATTAAACAAATTTAGTAATCCATATAACTGAATCAAAGAATTTTGATAATTTGATTAATTCAAAAAACATTCGATTCGTATTGATAAGAAGACGTGCTGATTAGTTTTTGGCGAAGGCAGATCTAGCCGTTCCGTAGATACAGGGCAAAAAGTGCAAAAAACGGTAACATAGTTTTTAAGAGAACGGAGTATCCGATTTTAATAATTCAAAAAACATTCGCCTCTATTGACAAGATGAAATGATTAAATTTTTTGAAAGGCAGGTCCATCTGTTATGAACTCTCAATAGAAATAAGGTAAAAAAATGCTTTTTGAAGGCCAAAAATGATCATCAGACATATGCACATCAAATTATCAGATATTTTATAGAGCTCTTCATAACGTGTACACATTTTCTGTAAATTTTAATGGGTTCCGTACCAAGATTTTTAATTTTGAAGTTTATTTATATGGATCAAACAAATGTTCTCGACATTTTCGACAGTATGAAATAACCGATATGAATAATTTAAAAAACATCCGATTCGTATTGATAAGAAGACGTGCTGATTAGTTTTTGGCGGAGGCAGGTCTTAGCCGTTCCGAAGATACGGGGCAAAAAGTGCCAAAAACGGTAACTCACTTCTTAAGAAAAGGGAGTGTCCGATTTTAATAATTCAAAAAACATTTTACCTGTATTGACAAGATGAGGAACTGATTAAATTTGGGAAGGCAGGTCCAGCGGTTATGGACTCTCAATAAAAATAAGGTAAAAAATGATCATCAGACATATGCACATCAAATTATCAGATATTTTATAGAGCTTTTCATAACGTGTACACATTTTGTGTAAATTTTAATCGGTTCCATACCAAGATTTTTAATTTTGAAGTTTATTTATATGGATCAAACAAATGTTCTCGACATTTTCGACAGTATGAAATAACCGATATGAATAATTTAAAAAACATTCGATTCGTAATGATAAGAAGACGAGCTGATTAGTTTTTGGCGGAGGCAGGTCTAGCCGTTCCGAAGATACGGAGCAAAAAGTGCCAAAAACGGTAACTCAGTTTTCAAGAGAACGGGGCGTTCGATTTTAATAATCCAAAAAACATTTTACTTGTATTGACAAGATGAAAAACTGATTAAATTTTTCGGACGGTTGTGGACTCTCAATAAAAATAAAGTAAAAAATGCCTTTGTAGGTCAAAAATGATCATTAGACATATGCACGATTTTTAATTACGGTACGAGTAGTTCCAGCAATTTGCCTCAAAGCATGATGCCTTGCACCCCACTAGTCTTCTATTTCGATCAACAATTCATAACCTATGTATGAAAATACTGGATGTGTTTACCAGAGAAAAGGAAGTGTGCTTTGTCCGGACACATAGCCCATAAAGTTATTTATGTTAATGATAATTCTTTAATTATATAAAAAAACTAAATTAAAAAATCCATATTCTTCAAAAAATCTTAAAATATTTTTGTTTCATTGGTTGAAAGTGAAAATACAGAGAAAATGAAAATGTGGCCTAATGCCGCAACACTAGTCTTTCGAATGAAAACTTCTGATCTACGCCTAACGTATAATTCATATGCTGGATGCGTATACCGGAAAAAGTAGAGAATTGCCCGTTTGGCCGGACACGTGCCACAAATGTACGCATGCGAGAGCGCGTTCTCCCTGAATAGATCGTAGTATTTATAGTCTTAAAATATAGAATGGTCCTGCCCCTCCCAGCCGCTCATGGTTTGTTTCTATTCGCCTTTGCTAGGACGCTTTTGGACATTTCATGTGGCGTCGGATCGTCCGATTTAGACATTATATTCATGCGCGTGCACGGTCTGTATTTATAAATCTAAATAACGTGAGATTCCAGAACAGGAACTTACAATCTAACACAAGTACTTTCATTAAAATCCTCTATTTTTAGATAGTCAAAATTATTCAAAACTGACATGTTTTTCACTTTTTTCGAATTTGCAAACAAACATTAAGACTAGTGGTATATGGCATTGTACCTTAAGGCAAATTGCTGGAACGTACATTTTATAAACTTTAAATTTATTGAAAATTATGGTTTGTTTAACATTTTTGACCAATTTAAATATTTTTGAAATTTTTGCATTTTGTTCGAAGCAATCGCGCTGCGTAGTTGTTATGGAGACCTAATATCGAAGCGCCTAAGCGCCGCGTCGCAGTCTCCATTGGTTAAAACCTTGGTATGAAACCCACAGAAATGTAAATAAAGTTTGTACTTATTATTAAAATATCTGATAATTCAATGTGCATGTGTCTGATAATCATTTTTGACGGGTAAATGGCTTTTTTTAAACTTGTTTTTATTGGGTCTCCGAAACCGCTGGATCTGTGTTTACCAAAAACTTATCAATTGGGATATTATTAAATCATTCAAATCGACTGACCCATGCTTCTTGTATGAAAAATTGTATCCGCACATACATACATCCATTTTTTCTTAGGTATGCCAAAAAGTTCAGAAATCGTAAAAATATGCAAAAATTTTCATCCTCGAATCGAATGTTTGCCAAATCACTAAAATCGGTTGATCCGTGCTTTTGAAATCGTGTACAAAAAATTGTTACCGCGCCCACACACTCAAACATACATCCATTTTTTTCTAAGGTATACTAAAAAGTTCAGAAACCCCAAAACGTAAAGATATGCGCAAATTTTCATTTTCGAGTTTTTTCGATTACTCAACAGGAAGTTTCGATTACTTTACAGAAATTTAAATTATTCTCAATTTTGGATTATTAAGGAATATAAAATAAACTGTCTTTTATAGTAAGCTATATCGGAACAGATGTGAATGATGCTTGCCAAGTTTTAAATTTTAAAAACGTTACATGGACAACGAGATTGGTGGTACACACAACATCACATAAATTTTAGAAAATAATCATTCTTTGTGAATTGAGCAATTTGTTAATCTAGTGAAATAAAAGTTAGTAAAAAACTGTCGAATTATGTAAGCTCTTAATTACTTGCTATATCTTTTACTTTACTCGAATTTAATTTGTATCTTCATATCTTGTCAAACCTCAATTATGAAATTTCAATTAAAATCAAACTATGATAAGTAAAGTGAAAAATGGGTTTAATTATCGATTTTTGCAAATTAACTTTGATTAAAATTTATAAACATGTCAGCAATGCGTGGGTCTTAACGTGCATTATAATAGACATATAATTACATTCACAAAAAATTAAACCCCATGCTGCGCACAGACGCAGCTTCTTTGAAAAAAAGAAATGAAAAAAATACAACCATACGAATCGAAAGCTATAATGCTTAGGTACATAAAAAAACCAAAAGAGTTCGTCAAAAATTTGATTTGAATTATTCTGAATTTTAGTGACTAATTATGATCTTCTTCTATTTTTAGGTGAAGAGGAATCTGCAAGCCGCAAAGAAAGAGGGCTTCACACTGTCTCGGTGCAAAAATATAAATTTTATGTGGTATTAAAGATACCACGTTTGTTAAAATGTAATTCATCATTAAAATTGCTTAACGCGATACTCAAAAGTAAGTTTAATTTGGAATTATTGTAAATGCAATAATTTACTACATCATTTAAATATTTTATGATGGTGTAATTGCTATAATACCGCGCTTTCAAGTTTTCATTTCGCGGAGCAATTTTAGCATTTGGTAATTAATAAGATACAAACATACAATTATTTACACATACATAGAAATATATATATATATATATATATATATATATATATATAAATGTATACTTTATATGTGCAAACTTCCTAAGCATCAAACACATTTATCCACGTTTTAGCTTAAATAAGTAACAGTTTTCAAGAAAATTATTGAACTTGTATTAATTATGTACTATGAATTTCCACCTCTAAATATGGCGACAATATTTGAATTTTTGTTTAGAATGTGAATAAGAGAAAAAAAAAGGCTAATCTTAAACTATTTATCATAATAATATTTTTAGATTGCAATAGACAATGAGAATGTAAACAGAAAAAATTGGATAAGACCAGAAAAAATTGTAATATATACAAAAAACCATATGGTTAATTGTTCATCCAACTAAAAGTGAATGTAATTTAGAATTGTATCTAAAATGTTGAAACTTTAGAATATTATGGAATGTAAATCTATAATGTATTTATATATTGTTAGATTTAATTTGATAAAAATCACTGAAAATGCAGCAATAAATTATTCAAATTCTCTCGTAGTATTTCATTTACCATTTAATTGTTTAATATCTGAATAATATAAAAATATTAAATATTCTTAATATAATTTGTACAATAAGATTTAGATGTGTTAATATATTACATATAATTATGTATTTTATTAAATAAATATATTTTTAGACAACAATATGTCGAGTTTCTCTATATTTCTTGTTATAGTCTGTAAGTTTTCAGAAATTTTAAATTTCAGAGATAAATTTACAAACGCCACGTGCGAACAATTTACATTAAAATTTATTTCCAAAAACTAGTCAGCCCTTGTGATACCCTTGTTTGACCGATAATACAATTTTATATTAGCATGTAGCATTTGATATGCAATTTATATAATATTCAAGCTGCTTTGGCTAAAAATCAAAAATTTGAAATGGATTGATTTACACAAAGTATTCTTACAGATCTTTGGCAATCACTTGATACGAAATGTTCGAAATCGAAAGTATTTCTCCGGACGTCTCCAAATTGAATTTAAATTAGAACATAACGTAACTGACTACTTAATCAGAGTGCATGTAAAACGCACCTAATACGATAATTCGTTATCGTATAAAACATTAATTTAAGAAATGATAAACTATGTTCTAACACTATCACCAAATGATTATATTTAACTAAAATTAATTCAACTATGCAATAATTAACTATATAATAATACACATATATTCTTTTCGTTATCTTATAGATAAACATAAAACATAAACTAGATTGCATTTAAAACAACTAACATTGTTACACAAATTCATAAAGAATAAATTACACTTTAATTTCAGTAAAAAAAATCATAATTCATTAAGGAATGATTTGTATATGCTTGTATACAAGTAGGATTGTGGAGTCATTGTTTCACATGCTGATAGAATCACAGCGAGATTTTTCATCTCTTATCAAAACTCACACTTAATAGATACTTAAAATAATCTGAACACAGACGAGCGTGGCAATCGTCAGTTTTGATTAATTTTGTATCACATTCATAAGTAAATTAATATATGAAACGTGACAAATTGCACGCGCGGGTGTGTTCTGTACGACACATAAAAAAGCATATACAAAAAACTATGTCAAAAAACACTACACAATCACATTGTCACATAGAACGCATGCACATATCTATTTCATAAAATTATGACGATGAGTGCTTAATGCACAATATAATCACAGTTTCATATTGCAAATTGTAACGACCGCATGTAAGGGGATATTCTGGTCCATAATTAAAAAAAACAAACGCTTTTTTGGGAAATTTTCAAAGTTTAACTGTTCAAAAATATGTCTACAAGAAGATTTTTTAAAATTTGAATTATTTATATATATATTTGTTTGACCACGATAATCCGCCTCTGGTTCCTTCCGCTACAAAATTTTCGTCGACACGATACCCACGATTTCTCAACTTCTACTGCACCAAAATTACTTGAAATTTTTACAGAGTCTTATTTATTAGTCCAGTCATTTAAGCTTAAATTAGGTAAGAATCTCGGAATTCGAGAAGCTCAGCTGTAAGTCTGTAAATACTTGTATATTGATACTCTAAAGTTGTCTCAAAATCTACATATGGTAAGGTGTCAATACCATATGTAGGTTTTGAGACAACTTTAGGGTGTCAATAAACAAGTATTACAGACTTACAGATAAGTATCTCGAATTTCGAGGTGAACTTACTATTATGACTGGACTACTACGCTCATCCCTAAATTCCCATATTTACTATTTTAAAAAAATCAAGAATATCAAGAAGTCAAAAAAATATATTATTCTTTCAGACTATTTTGCGAAAAAAAATTTTTTTTTAACTTGTGCGTAGTTTACACAATTGCGACATTATTCTAAATTAATAATATATAAAAACAGTGATACCTCGCATTACGTACTTAATTCGTTCCAGGAGAAAGTTTGTTGTGCGAAAAGTTCGCTATAAAAATAAAATTAATTCGTTCTGTAGTTTGAAATGTGACCATAGAAAATAACATATTTTACATATGTAAAATATATCTTTTTTTTTTTTTAATATTTACTGATTTACGAAATAAGTTATTATCAAAGTCGTACTGCTTCCATTTGTGCCTTTTTAGCTACTGAATTTTTTAAAAAAAAAAAAAACTGTCGATAGTTGTTTTCCAACAAGTATATTTTCACAGCGGAGCAAAAATTTCCAAGGTCCACTCTTTGAATTTATTTAAACATGTTTTTTGACTACAAATGACAACGATATAGTACGTTGTGTGAAGCAAAAAAGTTCGTTGTGCGAAACGTTCGCGACCAAAAAAAGTTCGTTATGCGCATCGTTTATTGTGCAAGACGTACGTTATGCGGGGTATCAGTGTATTTTTTTCTTCAAATTATTTGGAAGGTTAAAATCATGGGTATGGTCAAGTGCCAATATTTCGAGACCCGCTTAATCACATCCTACAGTTAAAACTTTATGACTCTTTTACTTTTAATTGTCATTTTTTATATTCTCAAAATATTAATTAACTTGCAAAAAATGTAGTAAACTATTGTTTACCTCTAGACCAGAATACCCCCTTAAATAATGCAAAAATGTAACGATTTTGTGAGAGCATAACTGACTGACATTTTCTATCACATCTGATAATTTTGATTCATATAATGTAATATAGAAATAAATGTATGTACATATATATCAATAAAGACGTCAAATTAATCAGCATTTGCAACATGAAAATGGTAAGGATCAAAACACAATACGCATAAGTACAATACAGTACACATTAAATATTTTACAATAGCAATTTTCAGCATAAATTGCAACACAGCACTTTGACGGGAGCGACCAGTAACATTTTTAGTGGTAAAAATATTAGGAATTTGCATGCCCAACAAGAGTAGGTATGTATATTGGTAATAGCTATGCGCAAACTTATATACCAGTTGTTTTACAATTATTTTCTTCATATCTAGTTATATTATGCTAATTTCGTGAAGTAATAAAATACTCCTATTTGAACGCATAATTATTACTAAGAGCTAAACATTGACATGGCACTCGTGAATATAATATGTTGCATGTTTGTATGATGAGAGGATGTATATATATATATATATATATATATATATATATATATTATATATATACACAGAGTGCCCCAGAACTCGACGTAAAGCGGAAACCCTCGATAGTTTGACCGTAATTTCCTAAAAAAACTGTCTATGTTGTTTGGAAATTATGAGCTTTTAAGTGCAACCTAGAGCTTTGGTGAAATTCTGATCATTATTCGGTTATTGTCGTTAAATGTTATTACTTTCACTCATTTAAACTTTGAAATCGTAACTTTGAATAACATTTCTAGGACCACCGACAAAAATTGTCCCATAAGTGCTTGAAGGCTCATAATTTCCCACCAACGTAAGAATTTGTTTCTCTATTTTTTTCAGAGCACTTACTGTCCTGAAAATTGTCCCATAATTGCTTGAAAGCTCATAATTTTCGAACAACTTACGAATTTTTTTCTATTGTTTTTTCAAGACAGTTACGGTCCTAAAAATTGTCCCACAATTGCTTGAAAGCTCATAATTTCCAAACAACGTAAGAATGTTTTTCTCTCTTTTTTTTCACGGCAGTTACGGTCAATACTACCACCTCGTTTCGGTTTGACGTGGAGTTCTGAGACACCCTTTATATATAATATAAATTTAAAGCAATATCCGAATGAATTATTATTATTTGTAATTATTATTATTTGTAACTGCATTTTACACCTCATGATTAAGTATATGATAGCCAAAACATTGTAATAAAAATATCTTTTGTACCCGAATTTTTAAAAAATAAAATTATTATTTTTCTCAAAATCAACCTTCATTGAATCACGTATGATGAACAAAATAAAAGAAAATTGCAAATACGACAAAATATTTTCAACGGCACGATGTCCGTGCATAACTAACTAGTTGGAGATCCATCTATAGGTCATTGTGACACAGCGTGCGTGGGAACTTCCAATAAAAAGAAACTTTGATATATTTTCTCCACTAAATATGCTTGTTGTTTATTATTTACCGTATTTTAAACATTGTTTAAGACTAATCGAGAATGATATCTATATTATAAATTATGCAAATACCAGGTTTATGGGACGAGTCTGCCGTAAAATAGACCAATGTTATGGCAAGGCTATTGTTATGTGCCGACACCCTTATCTATTTAGCGTCACATTTATTTCTCTATGTGCATAAGGAAGTATCTGTATTCTGTAATAAATCTGTAAAATTTGTGTAGTGTTTTAAAATACCAAAATTACCTCCATCGCTGAAGGCAAATCTTTAACACTATGTTACGTTCTAGTTTTCACACAAAATGCCACTAAATACTGTCGAAATTCCATTCTATGCGATCAGGCGTTTTACATATAAAATGG